TGTGTGTGCCCCCTGTCTGTGCCAGTGTGTGTCCCCCTGTCTGTGGCTGTGTATGTGTGTGCCCCCTGTCTGTGTCAGTGTGGCTGTGTATGTGTGTGCCCCCTGTCTGTGTCAGTGTGGCTGTGTATGTGTGNCCCCCTGTCTGTGGCTGTGTATGTGTGTGCCCCCTGTCTGTGGCTGTGTATGTGTGTGCCCCCTGTCTGTGGCTGTGTATGTGTGTGCCCCCTGTCTGTGGCTGTGTATGTGCCCCCTTGTATGTGGCTGTGTTTGTGTGTGCCCCCTGTCTGTGCCAGTGTGTGTCCCCCTGTCTGTGGCTGTGTATGTGTGTGCCCCCTGTCTGTGTCAGTGTGGCTGTGTATGTGTGTGCCCCCTGTCTGTGTCAGTGTGGCTGTGTATGTGTGCCCCCTTGTCTGTGCCAGTGTGTGTGCCCCTATGTCTGTGGCTGTGTATGTGTGCCCCCCTGTCTGTGCCAGTGTGTGTGCCCCTCTTTTGTGCCAGTGTGTGTGCCCCCTGTTTGTGCCCCCCGCTTCGCTTTGCCTTGACTGGCTCTGCAATCAGTCTCTATTTAGGGACATATGCTGCAACTTATTTATACGTTATTTTGGAGAAACAAATCCTAGGATTTTATATACATAAATGTACAGATTTACATAGCTGTGAAATAGATAGTAAATCTCACTTACCTGTGAGTAATTATAAGGGCAAGCAGCATAAGAAATATTTCAAACACCTTGTTTATTTGCATTATTTACATACCCGTATTTGATAGTCTACAAATGAGGCAGTCTCACCCAAACCCTAAAGGTTCTGGGAAAAGGCCAGGATGCATCACGGCCATTGTTGGTCCCTCAGGCTTGGAGTCCAAGGTCCGATCGGGGGAGAAGAAGGCCGACGCTCTCCTGCGGGACAAGCAGCGTCTGGAGGCCGACCTGGAGTCCCTGACCAAGAAATCCCATGATGCCTCTGGGCAGCTGGTCCTCATCAGCCAGGAGCTCCTGAAGAAGGAAAGGTTAGATGTGGCTCACAAGTTAGATAAGTTGTTTGGATGAAGTCATGTGACCTCATTCACAATGGCTGCCTTTTGGTTAAGGTGTGATGTCCTGCAGGGTAGCTTTTGGAGGTTTACACTGTAGCTTGTTGTGTCACAATTCCAGACAAGCAAAAGTTAAATGACAGAAGAGCTGTGCTCATATTTGTATATATTATCAGTTTTCACGTAGTCACTCTTTGCTAAACTAGGCTGAGAAATTTTTAGCTGTAATTCAAATTCCTTAAGATAAGCAAAAATACAGCAACAGTCCGGTGGAGACGTTCAGATCACAGTTACAGGCCTTAATGATCTTTTAATGAGCCGTTTTGTAGTCTAACAGTGTGACAAGCCGACACATATCAAGTGCTTTCTTTTTGCATCTGTAGGTTTTCACGCTGTAATACCTTTGTGAAGAATAATGACCTGTAGGAAGATGTCCACATATCAGATAACATTTTAGGTAGCTTGAGTACAAGCGCGGTGTGTTGGTGTCGCCAACAATTATCCCCACAAAGAGGTTGGAAGAAGGATAGATGAGTGCACTGTGATAGACCTAAGTCACAGCTGATATTATGTACATATATATGTATTATATGTACGTGAGTGATTTTTTATGTTAGCTGAAAAATGTTTAGATACTGTCAATGTGAAGGGTTGATTTAACTAAGCCATGGCAGGCAGCCATTATAGAATTCTAATTAATTTCCTGGCAGAGGATTAATTTAATAAACTCTCATGAATGATTTTACTTAACTAAGTGGCATCAGTTTGGCCGGCAGTAATCGGGCGTCTTGCTATGGCTGTCTGCCTGACGTTAGCGCCCCCTAGTGGTGACTCAGTGTTCCAGTTCGCGGTCGGTATCGACTCGTTTCACTCAAGCCAGGTCAGTTAAACTGACAACAGTTAGACTGATTAATATGCTTAGTGTGATTTCTGGCTGGGCTGGAATGACAGTCCGCCTCAGAAATCACTCCTTGTCTGCGCTGTCTTATTGGAGATAATCGCAGTATTCAGTCAGCCAGTATCTTGAAACATCAGAGTGACTCTGGGTGTGCTCATGTGAATTCACTCCTGGCCGCTCTCCAGTGCGGACTGGGAAAACAATTACAGCTATGTTTAGCTATGATTAGCTAGGGTTAAAGTAAAATTATAGGGGTTTTGAATTGCCACATAGTAATCGCCCCTTACTGTAACAATACTGCTGGCAATTTCTGAGAAAGTCTTTATATACTTTTTATATAGTTTTAAATGCTCTGTATTTACTCTTTATACTTGCTGGTTTCTTAGGCTGCAGAGGAAACACTCTGCTTCAAAATATTATCAAGACATCATATTCACTGTATCCCCGTGGTTATTTTATAGTCACCCCTTCACATTCCCGATGTGAGCTATTCCCCTGTATATACAAAGTTACTACTGTATGCACTGGGAGCACTACGTTTTGGACCTGTTACTAATAATACAAAATTACAGACATTGAAAAGTTTAAAGGTTACTTTAAACTCGAGATTCCATGGTCACAAAGATGGCTAACATGAGAGTTAGGAAAAGACACATAGGGATCAATAAGAAGGCCAAGAAATATTATGTATCACCAGTATTTATATATTACATAATTGTATGTGATCCGAATTGTTTTCAGTATCGTTTTTGGCATACAGATCATCAACAAGTTTCTCTGTTCTTTCAAGGTCTGAAATGATTCTTCTTTAATTGTTTACACCCAACAGGCGAAAAACCAAAACTGTGAACGTCAAATTCTTGAATGTGAAGGATTTTCACTGTATTTTCAAGTTCTACAGTTAGCATAGATGTTGGGCCGGTCAATCCTATAAGATTCTGAGGGGCGTTGACTAGCTAACCATTTTTTCTTGCACATTGCATAAGGCTGGGCGAAACAGATGATATATTGACTTGTATAAAATTTAAATGATAAGAAACTTTGATTAATTGTCAGTCGTTTGATAGCATACATCAGCCTTTGACATCACAAAAGGGAAATTGGCAATGAACAAGGTAGAAAAGACTTTGCTTGTTCACAGTCATCAGGTGATACAAATTTCACAACTTTATAAATACTCTGACTCCTTAAACCTTGTCCCAACAATCAGCAGCTGTGGGCTCCTCTAAGCAGGTGCCTAGCACTCTGAACATTAAAATCATCGATGACCTCTAAGGAGGGAAAGGCTATAAGAAGATAGCAGAACAGGTAGCTGTTTCCTCAGTCCCTAACATAATTAAGAAATGGCAGTTAACAGGAATGGTGAAGGATCTGGGAGACAAAGAAAACTTTGGAGAGAACTTCTTGTACGATTGCTTGAAGAGCAAATAAAAACCACATTTAATTGGAAAAACTTTGGAGTGGTGGGGCCTTGTTCCACTGTGTAGTGACACCTGCACATGCTGAAGGGTTCTGCGTGGCCCTCAGTCCCCTGGCCTAAACATCATTGAAAATCTGTGCATGCAAGACGGCCCAAGAATCTCACTTTTGCAAGGAAAAATGCCCCGCATAAGAATTGAAGTACTCTTAGCTGGCTGCAGAAAGCATTTATAAGCTATGATACTTCCCAAAGAGTGCCCAAACTTGTGTTTTATTTGCCCATTTCTTTTTTTGTTATTTTGAAACTGTAAAAGATGGAAAATATAAAACCAGTTTAGCTTAAAATATTACAAGTACGTGTCATCTTTAACTTTATGCCTTTTGGAAATCATGTCATGTCTTACTTGCTTAGCTAGTCACAGAAATTTTTACCACGTGTGCCCAGACTTTTGCTTGCCACTGTAATTATTGATATCGACTGTGATTCAGACCTCCGAGACAAAGTGAAACTGGCTTGCTTACACTCCTAGAAGCACTTACGCCCCCTGCAGCATCAGCACAGAACAGCTACATTATGTAGGGTGCCAACTTAGCCAGCTGATTTCGCTTTGTCTTGGATGGTGAGCACAGTGGAACTGACCTAGGGTGCTGTATGAGTTTTGACGGGCCCTGCGTGGATGTCTAGGTTAATGGTCACCGGGGTGTCTTGTCTTTGTCCAATCAGGAGCCTGAATGAGCTGAGGGTCTTGCTGCTGGACTCCCCTCGACACTCGCCAGGCCTGGACCGCGACCTGAACCGTGAGGTGCACAAGGCCGAGTGGAAGGTGAAAGAGCAGAAGCTGCAGGACGATATCAAGTCTCTGCGGGAGAAGCTTCTACTCCTGGTAAGACTCATGGGGGAGGTCAAAGGCTAACAATCATGAAGAATCATGCAGAGGTCATGGGCACCTCAGTGAGCCAAGCTCCTGTGTGCATGGAAATGCCTACAACAGAAACATTGACACTTAGTTACACCTAGAGAGCACGATGTCCACGCTGGCGAAGTGTGAACCTGTTGGGCGTCACCCTGGGATTCTACTGCTCTTGATTTCCATGTGGTGTTTCTCCTCCAGTTTAGGTGATAATTTAACACACATAATACAGATAATCAAGCCCTTCAGTAATATCTCAGTATTGGAGCCAGCTTAGCTGACTCAACATAGCTGACTTTAACACTGAGATGGTAGTGAAGGACCTGACTATCTATATCAGGTGTGTTAAGTTAGGGCTACACCTAAGCTCTGCAGGGTGGTAGACCTCCAGGAGTAGGGTTGGGCAGCCCTGCTTTACAGCAACACACCTTAAGAACTGGAAATGACCAAAGCACCAAAACGCAAATTGAAACGGCCCTTGAAAACGTCCCACTACTGCTACGTTGGGTTGGTCATTACAGCCCCAAGGTGGCGTTCCACTCCAATTCTCAGCATTTCTCCTCCTCCAGCACTGTCTGGATGCTTGAAAATCTCACATCTCTACTCGGATCGCTTTGGCTTCAGGGTCGAGAGAGGTCCTCGCCAGACCACCGCCGGTACTCCATGATGGACCCTCCAGCAATGGATAGTGAGATGTTGCGGCTTCAGCAGAGGCTCCGGAGCACAGAGGACGTGCTGAGGAATGCCCTGGAGCACAACCAGAAAATGGACCAGCTAGTGGAGGCCATGCGCATCCGGCCTGAAAAGACCCAGGTACTGTAGCGTGGGGAGATGCTTGACCACACAGGGGTTGGTGTCAGCGTCCTGTAATCATTGCCGATCATCTCCTTTTCAAATTTTGCAGACACTTGCAAGTGAAAATTCTGCCAATGGGATACATGAAGAAGAAAAACCCGTCACACAAGAGGTAAGCAAGCGTATGTGGACCGTTGTTCATTTTTATGTTCTTTAATGAATTCCTTTGGAGGCTGTTGGGGTTGTTGTCATGAGGAACCTCTTTAAGTGTCTGTCATGCAAATATTTATGAATGTCTCCCATTTCACTTTCTAGGAGACTCACTGATGAAGAGGATTGGCAGCCCCCTGATTAATTTGGGACGTCTGGAAGTTCAGTATCACAAAGTAACAAAAAAGAGGCAGCCTGGTTCGTTTTCACAGTGGGGGGGGGGGGGGAGACATGATGCCAAAACCATGATTTCTCAACAGGCTGCTCCTGAAGAATCATCCAGCAGATACCTTAATGACGTGGAGGTGACATCCATAGTGCCACTAACTGCTGATATAACTCTCGGACTACCTCCAGTACAAAAGCCGGCATCAAAGAGTCGATTCTCTTGTATAGAATTGAATTGGAATCTACAGTACATTTCTGGAATGGGTTCTGTAGACCTTTTGGACTTTTTTGGCGATAGTTGAAGTTAATTAAACATCCTCTTGATGATTAATTGGCCGGTGATACATTTAGGTGAAATGACCAGCGTTGTCTACTTTGGAGAACGTTATTTCCAGTCAAGCTCCACACTATATATGATGATTGGACAGAAAGGCTGCTGGATTCAGTTGATTCTTATTTCATGAGTATTTGCATATTAATTAAAGCTCAATGGTTAATTTAACCCAACCAAATCAGTCCAGCTGTGTTAGTGGAATAGCACTGATTGCAGAGGTGGAAACCAAGATTTGGTTTCTACTAACCAGTTGAGTGCTTACTATCACAGATACTCAACTGGTTGGTTGAAACAAAATCCTGGTCTGGATTTTTACTCTTTGGACTTGAACTTTCCACCTCTGACTGATTGCCTTTAGCCCCTTCTCAACGTTCTTAACTGAACTTCTCCACAAACCAAACCATATAGTGTTTTTATCCATAGAAATGAAAGGAACTGGTTTGGCGGACGACTTTATTTAAGCGCCAGTATTAAGATATTTATAAAAAATATGAAAAATTGTCACCAACCTTCATTGCCAATGGGCCGGATGACATTCTAGCCTTCAGCTAGGCTAATTCTCTGCTGTTTGAGCTAAACCTGCAGCTCAGAGGACCACCTTCATTTCATCTGTACCTGCTAATCGTTGAGTACGTCACACATTCAGTCTTCCAAAATTGTTTATGTCCATTTTCACTCCAATGAATTGCCATTGCTTAGAACAGTGTTTACTGGCAGTGGCTGAGTACTTTTGGTCTGTTGCAACAGTTTTGGGTCATATTTTAAGGGCAAAAAATGTTAGGCTGACCCTAATCAGCTCCAATGAATTTAGAATTTGTCAGTTATATTCAAACAAGCTTAATGCCACTTTTCTGCTGTAATCCTCTATAACTCTGTAACTAAATCGTTTTTGGGACTTTCAAGACATTAAATATTAACAATATGGGCAACGGAACTGTTTTGACACTTTTTTGCCAGGATATAATTAAACGATCTGTGATTTTGGTAAAACATGGATACACAGCAGAAAATGTTGAAGAACTTTTTCCGTCAACAAAGTGACTGAGCAGACTTTTCTCCCTTTAAGGTAGGTACAGGTAGGTGACATGGTGACAGCATATAGGAGTGAATAGCTGAAACGGAACAGCTTCTTGTGGGAGGTGTTAATGAGAAAAGTGTGGTAAACTGGAATATGCACAAGGATGTTGAAAGCACCCTGAAGACTGACTGGTGCAAACCTGCACTCGTGACACTCACAGACACATACGTCACTGGTGTCAATGACTACAGTGTATTAATAACTGCCTTCATAAAAAAAAAAATCCTGGTTTGAGCATGAAGTACTGTCATATATTCCTGGAAGTATAATCTTACACCAGTCAAATAATCTTACCGTTTCACAAACCTCACATTTTGTTTAATGCACTCTATTGAAGCTGAAAGAGCTTTTGACTTCTTCAGTTAGTGTATTAGAATTTTTAGAATTTAGTGATCAATTGTCATTGTTGACACACCACAGCACAACAACAAAATGTGTTATCTGCATTTAACCCATATGTGACACAGCAGGGGGCAGCTAATTCAGCTCCCGGGGAGCAGTGCTTGGGGGCGGTACCTTGCTCAGGGTACCTCAGTGGTGCCTGGCTTCCCTGACCACCACTGCCCATTACAGGAAGATAGAGTGCAGCACATGCATGAATCACCTCTTGCCTTGGATTTGGGAGTTTAGATATATTTCCATATACTACCGCAAGATCTGTCATCAGGCTCGACACACTCCATAACAGTCCAAAGAACATGCATTCATGGTTTTGAATCCAGTGAGATACAGGGTTGTCAACGCTCACGCGTCTGAAGTGACACGCTTTCAGACTCTCACGCAAGAAATCTTATGGCACATCTATATTATTTCATTATAAACCTAAACTTAGCTGCATCAAAAGCATTGGGGTAGTTTGCAAACTCTACACATTATTTACAAGGCAACAAAACTGTTACATACATATAAATTCGTGTGCATGTGAGCGCGGACTTGTCTTGAACTGAAAATCTCACTCCAGCCAGCTGACCAAAGTTGGCAACCCTAGAAGATACATCATTACAAGGAACGAATTGAGTTTTTATTTAATTCCCATCTTCTCAGGGAGCGGTATTGCTTGTACGATATGAGCCTATCTGCACTCATTTTTTCACAGCTCCCTCGTTTGTAATACAGAAGTTCACGTGACAGGTCTCACTAAGCAATCAGCGACCCCCCAGCTGTGGAGGTGCAGTGTTTCACCGTTTGAGGTGGAAAAGTATAAACTTATACAAGCAGCAAGATTGAATCAAAACAAAATTCCATATTTCCAGTGTAAAATAAATTCCATCAGTAACTATATTGAAAATTTTGGAAGTATTACCAAGATGTAAACCCGTTATTTACAAGTTACAGGTCAACCAACAGCTTTCTTTTATCTACAATGTTGCATTATATATTTTATTACAACCTGCCTTGCCGCTATCTTGGTGGGTATTTTTTTTTTTTAATCCAAATATTCCCTGGGGTCATCTCCAAAATAATACTAATAAAATTAAGTAGCAAAATAACATCTAAATATAGGCTCGCTCTAATGTTAGTTTTCCCGTTTGGATTAATTCCACTATAAAGCTTATTTTGGCTCAGTGTGAACCAAAACAGAGTAGTAAAAACTTGACTTAAGCGTTAGAACTACACCGACAATACACTTAACGTGCTGTTTATTTTAATAAATCAAATTTCAACCTGCGGCTGGCTCAGTCTTAAATTTCAATATCATCAAACTGAATCTCTGTAGGAGGGACATGCAGCCAGGACATGGCAGCAAATTGTCACAGGATATGAGGCACATAGGGGACATCAGAGGACGGAGCATAATGTTCTGGGGAAAGGTGACTTGCGGCTGAACAGGCTGTTAGTGGGAAGAGGAAAATTCACATTTCAGAGTCGATGGCAATGCATGGGATCAGGGAGGATGGCGCCAGGCTTCAGGAACTGTCGGAGCGCAGGAACCCGGGGAAAGATTGCGGTCGGCCGTAGATTAACCGCAAGCGATCGGGGCCTTGGGCAGAGGAACTCGGGAAACGGTTGCGGTCGGCCATAGTTTAACCGTAAGCGATGGGAGCCTCGGGTTCAAGCGGGGATCACATGGCAGGCGGCGCTGTGCCAGGCTTTGTGCTGCGTCCGATGGTGCATTGTCCAAACGCAGATTATATGTCTTTTATTTTATAAAATCGCATTTTCCTTTTCGGTGCTTAATTTATATGCGAAAAATTATGTATTGAATTCCATGTGATTTCATGTATTTTATGTGCATTTTTCTTTCCTAAAAACAGATTTATTATTTAAATTTTGACACAAAAAGGTGAATTTGCCAAAATTACCTGCGATCAGCGTGGGACGAGGCCAGACTGTTAATGTGGGCTGTGTTTTTTAATGCATTTTCGTGTCAGGGACAATAATCTGTGCAGTTAATCTGACGATGGAAAGAAAAGATCTGCGTTACTTAAGCAGCAAAAAGTCATGCACAAGTGAGCTGGGGCATCGCAATCTGCAATACAGGAGTATCCCTGCTCACTTCCCATTTTAAAGGCAGCTTTTCCCCCATGCTTTTGCAGAGGTTCCTTAATCCTATATGTAAATTACAGCCAATAGATGCTGTTGTTGAGTTGGGCTGGGATTAGCGGAGGCGAATGGGTTTCAATTTTACTGGATTACAGAACAAAGAAAGGGGAAAGGGGACACTGAGCTCCGCTAAAGAAAACAGAAAGAAACGGCCAAAAACTGCAATAATCTACCGTGCAACATTTTAAAGAAGCCATCAATATCACTATGATGTTGCGGATTATAAGGTTTCGGGATCTTATTAACGCCAGATCATAAATGGGAGAAAAATCCTGCTTGCACTTTTCAATCGGATTAAATAGAGAATAAGATGCGCGTATTCCGGGATTGAGATCGTAAGGAAATTAAAGCGATTGTTTTGGTAAGCATGATGCATGCTTTAGTGTTTTTTAGTTAACGTGAGATGTTTTGGGGGAACACGTGACATTACACAAATAGTGAAATTATGGATTATAATTCTGGGGGAGGGGATGGTAAACATGGTGTCCAGAGGAAAAACACATGAGGCTGGCTGAACCCTGCATGGCTTTGTCTCGGCGGTCTGGCAGTGCGATGCCCGGCGTTATGGACATTATGTAAGGCGGTGGAGCTGCGAGTTGGCGGCCCGGAGCACCGCCACGGAGCCCCTGCGTGCAGGCGTGTTATCCGCTCCCTCCGGCTTATTGTTCAGCGTTACAAAGTAACATCGCGGGCTGCTGCTGCTGCTGCTGCGGCCGGCCGTCGCTTTTTTTGCGCTTTACGATCGACTTTACAGTGTCATCGGCTGAGATCCAATATATTACAAATATTATATATTTGCAATCAAATATATTACAGTTGACGTTAAGCTTTTGGAAAAAAATCATTCGGTGGCGACGGGATAAAGGCGGTCCGTGTGTATGATGGGCATGATCGCGACGCGACGTTCAGCATTCGTAAATGTTAATGTCACTAAAAAAATCACTAAAAAGCAATAAAGCGGAGTGCAGCTGCCGCCAACGAAGGCGCGTTTCTGTACATTAAAATATTTAACGCTTGACGTTAACGATCTCCGGGCCTCGACAAAAATAATATTAACCGCGTAGCTTTTCAGTTTTGTACACAGCCTAACACTTCTAATTCTGAATAGTTTTAACTTGTTCGGTATAAAAGTTTTAAAATTTATTTAGTCCATTAGTATGTCAAATTAATGCTGGCAGTGTAAAATCGATGGACTTAAGTATTGTGTGTCTAACTGTATGTATTCGTGTTTTATACATGTTTTACCTGGTATTATGTGTTATGAGACGCTCCTTTACGTAACCACTGCATGTTTTGGCCAGATGCAAACACAATGTTACTCGTCCGCTATAAATAACGTTTGTAGTGGGAAAATAGTTGCATACATTTATGTGGTTTGGTGCTATATAGGAAACACAAGCCACCGATCATAATTGTGTCATTTATAAAATATGACAGTAAAGAGTATAAATGATTTTAAAGAGCATGAGACAGGTTGGTGTTTCGTTGGTGACACAAAATGGTAATTAAAAAGCTAAAAGTCAGCGGTCGGCGTTGAACTGAATGATCAGCATTCAGCAGCTTTATTTAAACAGCCAGAACCTCCTGTTCAGGGTTTATAGCGAAGCAGATCGCCGTGTATCGATGTCAAACACAAGCTTCTTAGGGGAAAACCGCTCAGGAGGCCATGATACCCTTCCAGGTCACCGTAATGTCACCATATGGAGAATGATTCAACAAGTCACTATCCCCGCACTGTCAACCGAGGGGGGAAAGTCACCAGGAGCGAGCACAGATTGTCCGGATGACGTTTCCTGAAGCGTCCACCATTTACGGCATTATCTTATCTTATTTCCTGTAAATCAGGGTGTGGTAATGTGTTTTCAGTGAGTAGGCTACGTCTTAGTATGAAGCTGAATGCACACAGATATGGTTCACAATGTGGACGTGTGCTGCTGCTCGGCGGGGTGGTCAGTGCCGCCGCCTTGTAGACGTCGAACCCTTTAGGAACCTTTAAAATGTCGCCTCTATGTGCCTTAATGTTCCTTTCAAATGACTCTCTTGAAGTTCTTGGATGCATTTATCTTGATTTTTTTACACAAATTCTATTTCCACATAAAATGATTAAGAATACAAGTTATTAATTCTTTATAAGATCAATGACGAAAAAAACATATCCGTGCCAAGTAATCAAGTTGTGCAGATGTTACAGTTCTGTGTGTCTAGGTCTTCATTCATGCCGGTCCTTTCTTCCATTTAGGTTACCAAGTAACTCTCCGGCTGAGTAGCTGTAAAGTGAACATTTGTTTTTAACATTAAACAACAGTCGATGTACAAATATAGAGAATATTAGTTTGTTAACCTTCGAGATTGCATTTCACAAGATGTATCTGATGCCGACCTGTGGAGTGGGATTAAGGCACATAAGGATTTACGGTTGTTTTCAGGTAGGGCGATGTGTGTTTCTGTGCCGTTGTGTCGAGGGGGGCGGCACAGACGCTGAATCGGCCAATATATCGTGCAGCTGGGGGCGCCCCGCTCGCTCAGTGTTTGGGCTGCCTGGAGGCTGGGATAATGACTCCCAGTGTCTGGAGAGATTAAAGGCCAGAGCCGCATTGTTCAAATGCCACGAGATTAGTTTCCAAGGAGACCGATTGTGGTTGCCATGACAACACGAGGGGCCAGGAATTAGGATTGTGATTTAAAATTATATATATGTACAATATATACCTCTAGCAAGCTTCTCTTCCTTTTGGGACATAATGTCACAGAATGTGTCTGTGCATCTGTAAATATAAGTAATATTTTATTTTGGTAACTGGTGGAGTAAAACCTGGCAAAAGTGTGTGATCCTTACAGTAAATACCCGTAACAATACTGAAAGTCGTATTAGTAGTTTAAAGAGTACGATTTTCCAAGATGTAATTACTGCCTCTGATGCAAAGCTATTTTTACGTTTCCAGACCTTTCACTTTTATAGAGTGCAGATTGAGGATGAATGGTTTTAAAACAATAATCTGAGTCGACTTTAATTGCTTGACAAAAGCCTATGGTAATGAGCTACTTTCACTGGTCTGTAATGGATTCTGCATTAGCATATGGCAGACACACCCTTAGCATCGCTTTCAAAGCCTCCTAATCACACTACCATCCCACCTCACACATGACAAATTTTGGCTTCTGCTATAAATTAATCCAGCATTTAAGATGGTTAGATTTCTGCCTCGTATTTACATATCTTATTTTCTGTTCGACTAATATCTGCAAATTCTGCCATGGGTTTAAATTTGAGCTTGAGGCTCGTCATTCAGCTGAACTAGGAAAGAAAAGCATGAAACTGTTTGGTGTCTGTTTTTAAGGTTCATTGCTCTGCATTTGTACATAGTTTACGTTAATACACTAAGCATATTTGTTGTTTTATCAGTTTGAATGAATTTGCCTTTCGACCATATGATGGCTTTGAGTTTTCCTTTGATGTAATTCCCTTTACTTCCTGGAAAGTCTCGTATCGGCTCCAGCGAGCGGGTGGGCTCGTCCTCTGTGATGTGGGCACGGCCTGAGCTAGTGAATGCGTTCCTCTCTGTCCCCAGGTGGCCATGGCACACGCGCGGAAGCCGCCGTGTGATGGGATGCAAGCCGGCCCCCGCGCTGAGCTGCGGCTTCCCCAGGTGTCTGCCAGACAGGAGATCCTCACCAGCCTGGTGTCTGCCCTGGACTCCGTGGTAATTTCCCTTTAATTTGGTGCCACCGCCTGGCAGATGGGCCCCGGTAGGCCGGCCTGCCGTATGCCTGTTTATGATGGTAATAAATGATTATACCAGTCTCCGGAGGTTAATCCCCCTGAAACTGCAAGGCTGGGCCACTGCCGATCACATAAACAGGTGGGCCAGTTTGCTGCACCCTTGCCGATGCTGCGGCTGATGCTGCTGTTTGTTTGCTCCTCCTCTTTCATGGCCCTCGTCATCCTCTGGGGCCACCGCTCTGACCCTCGACCTGTCTTTTCCAGTGCACGGCCATGTCCAAGCTAAATGCGGAAGTAGCATGTGTCACGGTGCATGAGGACAGCGTGATCGCCGTGGGAACGGAGAAGGGCAGGGTCTTCCTCAACTCCCGGAAGGAGATCCAGACCGACTTCCACAAGTTCTGCAGTCAGTCACAGATACCGCCTGTTGATTGGAAATGTTATTGTTGTTTGAACTCCGTCTCATCTGCTCTTGGCAATTGTTAGCTAGTTGCATGAAGGCCAGCTGTTGTGGGGCTTGTGAGCTTCATTGCTCTGCAGCCCAGGTCCAACCAGGTGCTACCTTAGCATATTTACCATGTTTGTTCTTGATGTTAAGCCTGAATTATACTTCTGCGTCGAGTCTATGCCGTCACCTACATAAGTGGCCTATGTTGGTGTGTTTGTGTCGCTCTGCGATTACACTGCCAAAACACTAGGTGATACATAGTTTTGGATTTTACCCATCCTGTGATATACTTAATTGTTGAATCACGCAGTTGAAACAGAAAAAAATATGCATTTATCAAGGCTTAGTTACATTTGTGCTGCTCCAAACTTCCCGTAGAAAAATCTGGAAAAATGTCGAGCCATTATAAAAAAAGTCTTTTTATGCGTCTTCTAAAGTTAGGAGTGGTTTATACTCTACGCGTGCATCATGTACGTTTATGAGTGTTGTCGCTACGCAAGCGGTGCTGCTGCTCGTACTTGGATGCATAGATTATGCCAATCTGGAGGATTAAAGGTCATGTCCACCAGGGGGCAGTGCAAGAAAACCACCTTGGTCAATTCCTTCCTTTCTGGTCTTGTTTGTATGAGATTGTGGCATGAAATGTTGTATGCTCACTGCCTCTAAAGCAAGTTGCTAATTTTGTTGTACTGCTGCAGCATTCTCTACATGCTACCCATTGCTCATATGGTAGAGCAAAGTACCACTATATCACATTCGACATGAGGTAGTAATGTTGCATTTTATGTTGTTAGATATCTCATAGTAGTTAGTATTTTGTACTTCGTATTACGGGTGCACGATATCGGGGGGGAAAAAATCAATTTTTGTGATAAATATTGCAACATTTACAGAGCAGAAATTAATTAAAAATAAATTTATCACAAACACTTCTATTTGTGAGTGATTTAAACAGCAAGGATGAAAATGATTAGCATTGGCTGAGAGAGCGCATGCAGAGCTCATGCAAAAGTAGTGGAGGTAAACTTTAATGTTAAATTTATACTATATAATCTTGAAAATGAGCAGTCATTAAAATTGCAAACTTGCTAAGTTTTGTTTCCTATGGCAATATAAATGTTCTAGTGAAACGTAAACCCCAAGATTTCCTAATACCGGAAATGTACTGAAAAATAATGTTGCTTATGAAAGTTGAATCCGTAAGCAGAAGAAACGTAAAAGTTAGCACATTTTGACCCTTTGGGCCATCCATACCGACCCTTAGCGTCTATACTACTTTTTACTTTTTTGTCCTGTGAAGTACAAATAATCATCATGGAGGTAAGTGAAACTGGTGCTGTCATCCTGAGTGTTTGTAAGACCTCTTGCTCTGGTGCCTAGTGTGGGTTATTTGATGCTAGATATAAATAACGCTTAAGTTTCAGTCAATGATATAAGTAGACCTAGAATGTATGCTTTCTTCGCTCCCATGAAAAAATGAATTCTACCAAGTTGAGCAATCATAGTTTTTACGGTCTGTGTTACCATGGCATGTAGTTACATTTCTGGCAAGGTGCATGCCAGGGTATGGTGTAGAGTCCATGTTTACGCTGTTCTTATGGTGTTGATTCAGCATAGAAATATATATCAGCCTTTATTTTTTGGCCCCATTGTTAATTTCTGGATCCTTTCAAACATACAAGGGCACGGTACTAAAATAGGGCTGGGCGATATCATATCTATATTATACCACGCATGCGCAATAATCACCAGGGCGTCAGATGACAGGTGAAACATTTGGCCGGATGCCAACTTTTCGGTACTATACAGATGTTTATTTATGTTCATAATTTGTTAAACAGTTAAATAGTACGGCTAAAATATTAATGAGATGTGTTTTATGACACCCGAAAGTTAGTCATTTGTATAAACTTGGCGTGTCTTTATGTTTATTAAATTCAGTTAGCGGAGCACACCACATAATACTGTTTTGGTATACTTCAGTGTGATATGCACTGTAGCGGGCACACCACATGATACTGTTTTGGTATACTATGGTTTGGTATACTGTAGTGTGAAATGCACTGTAGCAGGCACACCATAATACTGTTTTGGTATACTTCAGTGTGATATGCACTGTAGCGGGCACACCACATGATACTGTTTTGGTATACTATGGTTTGGTATACTTCAGTGTGAAATTCACTGTAGCAGGCACACCACGTAATACTGTTTCGGTATACTATGGTTTGGTATACTGCAGTGCGATAAGCACTGAAGTGCCGGTGAAGAATGGAACAGCTCAGCAGCCAGGACATCTTTTAAAAGAGGAGATCTTGTGGATAAACAAAGTAAAAAGACGTCTTGGTGTGGCGGTACTTTTTGCAACTTAAAGTCTGACACATTTATTAAACATAAGGATATGCCGAATTGATACTGATTACTAACTTTTGAGTGTCATAAAATGCCTATTTGAGCTGTACTACTAATCTGCTTACCAAATTTTGGGCGTAAATAAACGTCCGTATAGTACTGAAAAGTAGGCATTGGCCACATATTTTGCCTGTCATCTGCAGGCCTGGTGATTATTGCGCATACTTGATATAATATCGATATATTGCCCAGCCTTATTCTATAATGTTGCTAAGGGGACGTTGCCGCTGGCTGTTTCCCCTGCAGGAGTGCCCTGTCTGCAGACTGTACCCTCCGTAAACACCCACACCAAAGTCTCGGAAAGCGACACCAGTAAAGTCAGTAAGGAAGCAGCACACATTGCGCTGAGAGGCCCTGTGGACACCCACTCCAACACCTCCATCCTCAGGAAGATGGTGGAGGAAGTCTTCAGCGTGCTTTACAGTGAGATCCTCAATGAGATCCCTTTCACCTCTTATTTTGATATACAGATTCTTATATGAACAGAGGTTTAGATTATGATGGTGTTGTGGACATACATCGTCATCTTCCCATCTGTTTCCATTCATGTGCATTAGTTAGGTGTTTCGAATGTATAAGCTTAGAAGCTTCCTTAGAAGACATTTAGGAATTACTGTTAAAATTGAGGTTTGCTCTTTAAGCAGCTCATTCTCCAAAGAACGCAAGATGAAACACAGTATCCCTGTAACCTGATAAGAAAACAGCAGTTTGCAAACAGGCCGGAGAATCTCATACCTGACCTTTAGTGGCATCTGGGCTCTCGGCCATGTTACGACCCACAGGTGAGGCTGCTGGGAAGAGCAGCCTGGTCCCTGTGCCTTATGAGTGGATCCTGAAGGACCCCAGTTCCGTGTCTGTCCATGGCCTACCCGATGGGATCTCCCTGCGAAAGCCCACTGAATATGACACCAAGACCTTAATGAAGATCTTGGAGCAGAGCAATCGCATCCGCTTCACGGTCAAAAGGTGCCAGGCTTCTTGTGCTGATACATAATGTTTCTGTGTTTATTTTGGATATTTTATAGCTGCAAATAACCATAACTTTATAGGTCAGTATATAAATAGCGTTGTCAAAATTCCATCCAGGCAATTTTGCTTGTTTGTACTACAGACACGTAGATGTTAGATCTGTCCTTCCAGGGTTGTTGAAGAAGGACAGTGACATGAAGGTCCCCACATCATGTGATTTAGCATCAAAGAGAAGCTTGTTTTTAAACTTTGTTTTGTAAGCCTCAGCCCCTTAATTTGAACTATTAAGGTTGTAAATCATCCTCGTGACACTACAGAACGACGGAGGAGCCATCCCGGGATGTCCAGCCCTGCCCAGAAGTCAACCACATCTCCTCTGTTGGCAAAAACCTTGCCAACCACGTCCCCGTTAAGGCTGGTGGCCAGGAGGCTACTGCTGCTGCCACCAGCGGCTCCAGACTCTTCGGCTTCCTGTACGGGATGCCCATGTCCTCACAGGGGCACACCGACGGCAAGATGGAGTCCAAGCCCACCTCCCTCTACAATGTCGGCAAAGAGCGGCAAAGCGCGTGGTCGTCGGGGGCTGAGAAGGCGACGCCCACTAAGGACTGTGCCGACGGCGGTAGGTCATCTTCCTGGCAACCTGAGCCCCTCGACTGATATTTATAACAAGCAAGCCTAAGCCCTAGTCCCCTCTCTGTCTGTGTGGTTTGGGGACAGCTGAGAGTCCTGCATTTGAGAGGAAGACCCCATCTTCAGCTGGACATCCATTCCAAGAGGGCTTGTGTCATTTTGTATTTTTAGATGGTTTAGCTTGTAAAAGCCAGAAACTGCCACCATGGATGGGTTACCCTGAGCAACGTTAGCCGAGTTAGCACAGGCCTGTTGTGTACAGCAACTTGGTGCTCAGGGATGGGTTACCCTGAAGGTGTTAGCGGAGTTAGCATGGGCCCGCCGTGTACAGTAACTCGCCTCAGTAATCAGGGGTGGACTACGATGTGTGGAGTTAGCATGGACCCGCCGTGCACAGTAACTCCGCTCAATGATAAGGGACTAATTACCCTGAGGGTATTAGCGGAATTTGCATGGGCCTGCCATGTATTGTGACCTGTCTTAGCGATCAAGGACAGGTTACCCTGAGGGTGTTAGCGGAGTTAGCATGGACTCGCCCTGTACAGTGACCCGGTGATGAGGGATGGGTTACTGTGAGGGTGTTAGTAGAGTTTGCTT